CACACACACACACACACACACACACACACACACACACACACACACACCCAGCTCCCACCCCCACTAACAAGCGAGTGCAGAGGAAATATGGATGGTCAGATTTAGCGTTAGACTTTTCAATAAATACACAAAAGATTGATGAGAAGGAATGAAATGAATCAATTTCAAAGGAGTCTGAAACTTGAATGGACCTGAAAACTTTCCTCTTGTCGAGTAACTCACCAGTCAGTTTTCCGTGTGCACGGTTCCTCTAACAGCCGCTGTCCTCTGCTCACAGGTCGGGAAGAGGATGTTCGGCACGTACTTCAGAGTTGGATTTTATGGTTCAAAATTCGGAGACCTAGATGAGCAGGAGTATGTGTACAAAGAACCGGCCATCACCAAACTGGCCGAAATCTCTCACAGGCTTGAGGTAACAATACCACCCAAAGTCTCCCAATTCCTTTTGTGATCATTCTAATCTTTCTAAGCTTCCTGATATGCAATCCTCTGTCCTGTGGTAGGGCTTCTATGGGGAGCGGTTTGGAGAGGAGCAGGTGGAGGTTATAAAGGACTCCAACCCCGTAGACAAGTGCAAGCTGGACCCCAACAAAGTCAGTGTGTGGACCAAAGCCTAAGTTTCCCCAGTGGTTTGATTAGGGAAAAGAGAAGCATTTCTAAGGGATTGTGTTTGTTTGTGCAGGCGTTCATCCAGATCACGTACGTGGAGCCGTACTTTGACACCTATGAGATGAAGGACCGCATCACCTACTTCGACAAGAACTACAACCTGCGTCGTTTCGTCTACTGCACTCCTTTCACCCTGGACGGGAGGGCCCACGGCGACCTGCACGAACAGTTCAAACGCAAGACCATCCTCACCACCTCGCACGCCTTCCCCTACATCAAGACCCGCATCAACATCATCCACAAAGAGGAGGTAGGTTCTCTCTTCCCAGGACCCGCTGTCCACTCGTCGGACGTCACTGATGAATAAAAGCGCCTGACTGTCACATTCCAGATCATATCCACGCCCATAGAGGTGGCCATAGAGGACATGCAGAAGAAGACTCAGGAGCTGGCCTTCGCAACCCACCAGGACCCGGCCGACGCCAAAATGCTGCAGATGGTCCTGCAGGGCTCAGTGGGCACCACCGTCAACCAGGTAGGACGTGCAAAGCCACGCCACCTTGCTCTCCGGCGAGGGGAAGTTGCGGCCTGGCGCTCACCAGGTTGTGTGTTTCTCTCAAGGGCCCTCTGGAGGTGGCCCAGGTGTTCCTGTCAGAGATTCCCAGCGACCCAAAACTGTACCGACACCACAATAAGCTACGGCTGTGCTTCAAGGACTTTACAAAGAGGTGCGGCTATGGATCGGGGCTCGTGACTTAACGTGTGCGCAGACTTCGGAAAAAGCGGGCTTTAACAACGTGTCTTCACTCCTGTCCACAGGTGTGAAGACGCCCTCAGGAAAAACAAAAGCCTGATCGGACCGGACCAGAAGGAGTACCAGAGGGAGCTGGAGAGGAATTACCACAGGCTGAAGGAGGCGCTGCAGCCGCTCATCAACAGGAAGATCCCTCAGCTTTACAAACCCGTGCTGCAGGTCAACTCGCACAGGTGGGAGCAGACGAGAGCGCCAGCGCTGACCAGCGCTCTGGACGCTCTTTTCAATCAGTCTTTTTGTTTCTGCTTCTGGAAAAACGCAGCAAACGGACAGCTTGATAAGGTAGTTGTCGGACTGCACCGTGTGTTCTGTGTTTTTTTGTCAGTCAGAAACATCTGTAGAGCTTTTTTCTTTTCCAGGAAAAAAGAGAGAAAAGAACATTAGACGCACACGCTTTGGTGCTTACAAAGTAAAGCGTCAGCTCCCGTTGGATCAGGACAAACTAAACGGATGCTGGACTGTTTTGAGTCTCACATCAGATTCCAGTGAAAGAGACAGTCTATAAAGCAGCTGAATAAATATACGATCAGACCACCAACCAAACAAACGCCCTGCATCACTGTGCTCTCATAGTTTGTAATCGTATTCTCTTTTCATTTTGCAGAGATTCCTTCAGCAGAATGAGTCTTCGCAAGCTTGACATCTGAAGACGACAACGCGCGCACACACACGCATCGACCTACACAAGTGTAACAGAAATTGCAATATTAATTTATTCTCAAGTGTAAATAGGAGTGTCCCTTGTTGGAGGTGTGTAAAAAGGCTCAGAGGGCTGCAGCTTGGTACATCATTCCAGTGTCTTAATTTGTTTACATACAAACTGTTACACAATCAGCAAAGCGAACAAGTGGATCTTAGAGATTAAACAGATACCTTGGCGTTAACAGTCCTATGCTCGTCATCTGTCTGTCACTATGCCACCCTGAGAAGACCACGTGAACCCTGACCTAAGGGAAAACCAGCTGTACGCTGACAAAACACCCCAGTGAGGAGAAAGTGCAGACCAGCTTAAGTGCCAAAAAAAACTTTTTTCCAGCCAAAATTTCTACCAGTGTCCACAGCAAAAGGTACGATTCGAAGTCAAGGTGTCTTTTTAATCACGTACGATGTGTCAAAAAGCTGTATTCAACTTAATGTGTGCACTTTTTTTTATTATGGTGTAGCAACGCATTTTACAACTTGAAACTTTGTGTATTTCAAAGTGGAGGGAGAAAAAAATTAAAACATGCACAAAAAAAAAAATGGTACCAGTATTTATCATGATGCTTTATTATCATTTTTAGTTGAAGCAACAATGTTTTAAAGTTAGGTACTTTAAACATCCTTGTATAATTTTATGTAGTTTTGTTTTATTTTAAATATTTTACTAAATAAATATTTTAATGTTCACAAGGTGTGGTGTGATCGTTGCTGTTGGGGTCAGCCGGGGAAAAAAGAAAAGAGGCTTCTGTGAGGAGGACGCGAAGGTTTAATTTTATTGCTGATAAAAACGAATCCTCCAACTTTGAAAGTTTATTACAGGTGGGAAGTGGAATTAAACCGAGACACTTTCACGTTACATTGTGGGAAATCTTTATGTAAAATGTAAAAAGTCTTTCTGCCGGGTGAACATCAGCCTCTGTGGAAAAACAACTAAAATGTTAAATAGCTAAAGCATGCGGCCATGAGCAGATCGAGAGCATGGCCACTTTTTCCTGAGTTGTCGAAGCTATAATGAATTGTTAGGTCACAGGACTTAAAAAAAGTGTAAAACATTCTGTCTTTGATAACTTGGTCAATAACACACTGATTCCACCTTGGTCCAGATTTCAGTGTGTAACCTGTTGATACTGTACTGAAGAACTCTCGTGTGTCTGTTTTTTCACACGACGTGCTGAAAGGCCACAGCCCCATTTTCTGGTACCGTCTAAACCTTCTGAAGTGTTGTATTTGTTCTACCAAACACGGGACATAGCTGCTGTGGATGTGACTTTAATCTGTCCAATATGTGAAATAAGAAATAAGATTTGCAAACCCCAACATGGGATCATTGAAAAAAAAACTAAAAAAATACTAAATGGAAACAGTATAGAAAAACAGACCAAAAAGTGCTTCACTGCAAAAATAATTCAGCAATTTGAGAGAGCAATTAAAGACAGACAGTGGACGAAGGCCCATTTACAAAAAAAAAAAAAACTGTACGGACAGCAAAGACAAACTGTACAAAAGACACCATCCCTGACGAGGAGGAAAGGCCTCCTCCTTAAAGGTGACCGCCTCCGTTCCGTTAGCGCCCGGCGGGGAAGGCCGTGGTCCCACAGAGCTACAGGCACAGCTTTCTGGTTAAGAAAAAAAGAAGAAAAAAATAACCCCATATAAGAAAGCCAAAGAAGTTTTTTGTTTTTTTTCCCTTTTTGGCACCGGAGAACTCCAAAAGCCGTGTCGGCGTTAGCGTCCAGGCTCGGGCATGCGTCTGTAGAACAGCAGGTAGGGCGTGGACGAGGAGCTGGTCTCGGGGCAGCAGGCTCGCAGGAAGTCCTCCTCCTCGAACAGACGCACCTCAGAGTCATCAAACAGCAGCCACTTCCCCTCGTATTCCAGCAGGCCGTCCAGCGGCGCCTGCTGCCCGGACGCCCCTCCGGCCGGCGCCGCCTCCTCCGGCTCCTTCTGCTCCTTCTTGGGTCCGGCCTCGGCGCTTTGGCCGGAGCTGCTGAGGGCCTTCCTGCGCTTGGAGCCTCCCGCTTTTTCGGCGGGTTTGCTGCTCGCGCCGTTTCCCACCTCACAGCTGGACAGGCTCCTCTGTCCGCCCAGCAGTCCCACGCCGCCCTCGGACAGCTTCTTGCCCGCTGCTTTGGAGCCGGCCAGACCGGAGCGCCGCTGGCCCCTCGTGGTCAGGCTGAAGGACACCTCTCCGTCGTCGTAGTCCTGAGGGCCGTCCGGCTCTTTCTGCTCCTTCTCCTCTTCCTCTTCCTCCTCCTCCGGCTCGGCCTCTTTTTTGTCCTGCAGCCACAGCCGGGCGTCCCTCAGGTCGGACATGCGGATGTAGGCGGTGTAGTGGCCGCTGCTGATGGTCACGCCGCTGTGCATGACCACCGCAAACAGCTGGTAGCGCTGACCCCCGCCGGAGGAGGGGGGGGGCTTGGTGCACCACTCCTCCAGGGACAGAGTCAGAGGGGTCTGCAGGGGAGTGTTGACTTTGGACAGGCCAGCGTACGGGTCCAACCTGAGAGGAGAGGGACGGTCATTATTCCTGCAACATCACAATCTCATTTCTGAGGCTTTCATCTGAAATGTTCCTGCTCAGGACACCTGCTGCTTCGTCTTAACTCGATTAAGTTTGCACTCCAAAAAGGATTTCCTCTGCCCTGCAGCTCTTCCCACCCAGCCGGTGTAAAGAGGAATTTTAATGTGAAGCCTGTAATCCACACTGAGTCAAACCGGCCCCTGCTGTGAGACGCCTAAAGATGAAGAGCGGGCTTAGGCTCGCGGACTCACTCCAGGCCGTTGGCGGAGAAGCGCTTCAGGTGAATGGTGATGACCTCGGGGGTTTTGTCGAACAGCAGGCTTCTCTCGGCCTCGGTGTAATGGTGGCAGGTTTCGCAGAAGTATTTGTCCTCCCCGACGATGCGCTCCACCGAGGCAAACTGCGCTATGGCCCATTTCAGAGTCTTCAGCTCTGGTTTCGGGTCTGGAGACACTGGGAGGAGGAAGAGGGAAACTAGCTGTTAAGTTCTAAACACCTACACACATCTCAAAATGAACGCGGGAAGCGGGGGCGGGGTTTGAACCAGCCGTGAACTCCTCACCCTCTGAGAGGTCATCTGGACTGTCCGGCTGGTCGTCCAGGACCGGGACGCTGATGTCCTGAAAGTCCTCCCTCCTCTCTGTGAAAGTCTCACACTCCAGACATCGAGTCCTCAGAACCAGCTGGCCCTGGAACAGCTGTTCCATCAAACCCAGGCCCTCTGAGTGGAACACACACACACACACACACACACTGAGCCACTGCTCTGACGGTCAGGGGAGGACATACGTGCTTCTTACTGCATTTCTCCCCTCGTACCTGTATGGTTGTGGGTGTTCTCCTCTCCGGGGGAGCTGGGGGCTTGAGGTTCGGGGCCGGTCTTCTCCTTGGGCCGCTCCGGGGGCCCGCCGTCCTGCTCGGCTTTGGTCTTCACGGTGCTGGAGCTCAACTTCCCCACGCTGCAGAACTTGGAGAAAATGCTGGGCTGTTTCCTGGACGGCCGCAGCCAGCTCAGCTTAGCTCTCTTCTTCCTTTTCCCTTCGGCCTCTTTAGTGGTCTTTTCATCACTTCCCTCCTCTTGGTTTCCTCCCTCCTGCTTCGTCTCCTTCCCGCCCTCCTCTTTTACGGCCCCTCCGTCTTCATTCTGAGAGCTTTCCGCTGTGATTTCGCTGGAGGACTTCCTCTTGGAGCGGGTCAGGGGTTTGTTTGTGCAGATGTCTTCCTCTCTGCTGTCGGGCTTCTTAGACTTGGCGGACTTTGGCTTCTTCTTTGCATTTCCCACCTCAGTGTCGCTCTTCCTCTTGCCGCTGAGCTGGCCGTCCTCGTCTGTGGGACACGTGGATTCTTTCTCAGAGCTGCTGGGAACGGGCTCGGAGCTGTTCTCTGTCTTAACCTCTCTAGGCTCTTCCTTGACTTCCTCTTCCAGCTCCTGCTCCTTTCTGATGGTGTCACAGGCCTCCTGCATGTATCCCAGGATGCACTGCAGAACCTCTTGAGCATCATGCTGAAGGTAACCCTCATACATGGGGTTCAGCTGCCTGAAAAGAGTTGAGACTTGAATGATGGCCTGATTTAAAAAGGTACAGAACAACTTTGGTTGCCTCTGAAACATGAATATAAGCCAATATGCAAATGTTCATTATCATAACGTGTGACTTAAGTGTTTTATCTTAACATGAAGCAGATATTAAAGCACAAGCACACCTGAGCGTGTGCAGCAGCTTGCGCGGCGGCATGGCCAGCTCTCCTTCACTGAAGCTGTCGGGGCTGAGCAGGAAGCTGGACTGCAGCTCCTGGACTGACGTTACCAGACTGTTGAAGCTCCCAAGCAGTTCAATGTGAGCTGGCAGAGCCTCAGACACAGAATCTGGCAGCTGGAGAGATCAAATATATTTTGTTCTTTACTTGTGTTTCCATACAGCAGCTGATGTTTCTGCAATTAATTTTGACATTTTTTTCTACTTTGATTTGACCAACCTCTTCTTTTTTGACAGTTTCTTCCTTTAGCTTTTCTTGTCTTTTGGATAAGCTGTACAGCTTCTTTACGCCTTCTCTGAACCCGGGGCAGTAATACAGAACCTGGAGAGAGATGAAATAACAACATGTGTTACATTGATGCTAAATAGAAACCACTTCTTGAGCCCCTTTTACGCGGACTGAGTGACAATAAAGTCAATAACGGCGCTCGGAGAAGATAAGCAAGTTAAACATTTTCATTATACAGAATAGTGGCCGTGTGTAGCAGTCCTCGCAAATACACATAAGATACCAGAAAACCAACAGTCTGATCTCAAAGGGAAATTCCAATTTTTCTATCAACACATTTTAAGAGAAAAAGTGGTTCAATGTCTTCAAATATATCCAGCTACATCCAAGCCACATATGCAGGCTTCAACTTTAAAAGGGACACAATGTCTACACAGCTTCTGGCCTCTTTTCCAAAAAAAGCTCATTTCATGATTCTAGACTCTGTGATGGGTCATGGTGCAAATAACCCCATAAAAACCTAAACAAAAACGGAAATAACTAATACACTGTTTGTAAAGTACACTGCAGGATACTGCAGAGCTAATTGAAGAGCTCTGTGTCTACGTGTGTAAAACTCAAAAGGAAGATCCGTTTTGATCTCTGGAACACAATCACAGAAAGCATTGATTGCACAGTTTTACAGGTTCTGCGTAAACTTTGAACGGGGTAGACAAATACTCAACTATTGTGAAAGACTGAAGCATTTTCAAGTCTCTGAATGCAAGCTGATAAATCTATTTGGTTTCTCCATTGATGGTTTCAAACCTTAGGAGACGAAACTGCTCTGAAATATAAACATACCCACCTGTAAGATACTGTTTAAATAGCAGGTGTTGCCCAGGTTGTTGAGACCCACAAACGGAACCAGGTTTTCTCTCTTCTCACACGACAGAGGAATGGCAGGTGATGTGGGACAGGGAGTGGGGCCATATACCACCTGCTCACTGCTGTGGAGCAGGAAAAAGAAACAGAGAAAGGGGAAACCATTAATTGACAGCAACCTGTTAGAGCACTGCAGCTGAATAAGGCTTTATATTAAACAAAACCAAATACACACTGCCCACTGTTCTTGTTGAAGATTTCGAAAAATATCAGGTTATACAGAAAATGGAGGGGGGTCTTTGTATAGTATTGTGCATCATGGCACAATCTTTTAGAAATATGATCAGCTTTGTATGTCCTGGGACAAACCTACCTGCCTTCAGGCTCCTCTGATTCGGATGTTTTGGGCTCCTGTGTCTGTGGTTCAGAGAAGTCCAGAGCCCGTTTGGTTTCTTTCTTCTGGAAGAACTTTAAAGAGAGTTTACTCTTCTTCACCGGGCTCCCCTGTGCCGCCACAATATTTTCACCTTGCAGACCGGGCATCTTTTCCGCAGGCTCCTTCAGCAAGAATCGTTCCTACTGGGACGCAACAGCGCACCCCACTGGCGGAGGTGAGGAAGTACAGAATTTCATTTCAGTGGGCGCCATAAGAGCTCAGCGCGAACGAACGTAACTACGCACTTAAGTTTATGCTTTAGTTACTCAACTATCAACAAAGTGTCACCATTTGATCGACACATTCATGTTTAGGGTAACAAGTCTAATACATGTACCGACTGAATTGCGTATTATGTAACATATTAGCTGGCTAGCGTTAACTTCATTAAGCCTATATCGACGACTACAGCCTCAACAACTGGTGAAAATCCGTTGGCTATTTTACTTTAGAAAATATCGAGAACACAGTTAAAGTGTGGAATCAAACGTTGTTATTGAGTACTTTCCAGACAGCAGCGAAAAAAACTGGGTCGACGCGGTGCGGTGTTGTGAAGAAGTGGGAGGAGAAAACACACGACTCCTAACTGTTCACTTCAGCCAAACCAACTGACTAATTCCTTACACAAAATAGACATGTTAAGTCTTACCGAAGTAAGTCATCCCAAATCTAAATGGTGTGTATTTCCCCAAATATCCAGCCCCTTGAACCATCGGTTTTAGACTATTCAGACGGTGCAGCAGAAGTTGGCGCTTTTTCCTGCTGGAGAATGAGCTGCCTGTTAATACCGCCGGTGAAACAACAACAGCGCCTCCAAATATCAGACAAAAATAACCTCACAATAGCTACAGGCGAGAGTAAAATTAGTGTTCAACACATAGTTACAACTTTTAAGGATGTGTAGAATTTTATTATACTATAGAATCAAAGACATTTACTATTACTATTATTGGCACTAGATTAAGACAACTAAATCTATTAAGCCCATACTTCGCGTATGAGACGCCATGTTTGTAGTTTTGTTTAAGCCTCCATCAAGTCAGAGAGAAATACTGTATTCGGATCCACAGCAGTTGGTTACAGTCAGATAATAAATGGGTTGAATAGTTGACAGTTTACCCCCTAAACACATTTAGTTAATTAACTTTTAAAATTAAGACCAAAAAGGATAAGAGGAGAACATGTTTTACACTGATGGATTGTTTCCTAAGAAACAATCCATGAGAGTCAATCTTAATCATTGACACTATCCACCTCTCATTTTGACCTACATATACACATATTGTTTCTTATGTATATATCTAGCTTTATTTATGAGGAATTTTGTATATATTTATGTATATATGTATAGACATGTACATATGTATATGCCTTTTTTTTTATTTTGCTTATGGAGCCTGTAACAAAAATAATTTCCCTCTGGGATTATTAAAGTATTTCTGATTCTGATTCTGATTCTGATATGATGAAGAAGGTGAGCAATGAGTTCGTTTGTGTGTGCTTGTGTGTGCATAAAACACATTTTTAGATACAATGTTTTTATTTTTTTTATTTAGACCCTGTTTACATAAAAAAAAACAAAAAAAACACAGATGTAGGCACCTTTAATCAGCAGGGGGCGACATTATCCAGGGAGAGGAGGCTGGACTGTCCAGCATCATCATCGCCATCCTCACTGGACCATCTCCTCATCTGACAGTAAGCCTCCACGATTTCAACGGTAAGAAATAATTTGCCTTTTCTCTGTTTGCAGCTCCTGCATGTCACATCTGCTGGATTTCCTTTTTTTAAATCCACGCGAGAGCAGTTTAACCCCCTTTTCAGCTCCAGTCCATCAGTTTGACTGTGTTGATGTAAGTAGCGCTGCAGAGTGTTGATGCTGCTGTGCGTTTTTTTTTTTTTTTTTTTTTTACGATGAAAGGAGTATCGTAGCGCTTGGATGTTGGACGAAATATAAGAATCGACAGGTACGTCGTTGCATCCGTGTGCTGCTCGGTGTGTGTGTGTGCGTGTGTGTGTGTGTGTGGGGGTATTTGTCAGGATGACGGTATGTGCGCCGGACCAGCAGCCGCAGCTGCAGAGTGGCTGCTTGGTCAGCAGCAGAGACGTATCGATGAACCTGAGCTGCTGTGCCCCGGCTTCCAGAAACCACTCGGGCTGCTCTCTGGCTTGGTAATCAAGAGACGGTGGTGCTTCGGGGGGAGAGACCGATACAGGCAGAGGTGGATCAGAATAGTTGGAGAGGTGCTACACTTCCTGGGACTGTCATCTATTCCTTTAAATGCCCCAGAATAGGTTATCTCGTCAATCGCCACCTCTAGGGTTAGTGAGTTATCTTCCCTAAATGCACATACCTAATACAGTTACATTGGGTTCAATTAGTATAAAATTACGTTTCTTACGTTCAATAGAATCTTAACTAAATCTATCTCATTTTTAGATCTGATTTGTTCAGAAATAACAAGCAGAGATTGTAGAGATGTGTTAAGATATGCTGCCTCACGTCCTGTCTAAATCCTAACCAGGAGATGCTTTATATAGGAGGATTACTGTGTTCCACTTGCCTCATCACCTCCTCATATCATTCATCATGCAACCCTGCCACCCATGTCCTCAGCTATAGAATACATAGTAGAATCCTCACCTTTGATTGGCTGTTTCATTACACAAAAGATGAAATAGGATTTTCATGTTGACTGTGATCACTGGGCAGATTTTAGCACAAAAAAAAAATAATCTGGAGAAACATTTTCTCTCTGGAAACCCTCCCAAAATGCAATACTTTTTCTGAGGGGATTAACTCAGCAATTCAAGATTTAAGATCAATTTAAACCGCACTTGTTCCTAGCGCTTTAGATATATGCCAATAGTTACTCCATTTAGCAAGAATCTAACAAGCTAATCTGTAGTGATAATGAATACCATTCTTCATGAACTGAGCATTGGCCCTTATCAAGGCAGGCTTTGTCCCGGGAGGCAGGGAGCTCCCATGACCAGAGCAGTAGAGGTGGGTGTTGTGGCAGCTCAAAGCCCCAGACATGAAAAAAAACACCCCACCTCTGTCCGCCATCCTGTGTCTCTGGCAGCAAGTGAAAGCTGGTGGGAAAATGAAGGCATGTTGAGCGACAGGCAGTGGTGCAATCCAGGAATGAAAAGTATGTCCTGAAGTCTTTACCCCTCAACAAAAAATACTTCACACACACACATCCACGCAGGGCTGCTCCCAACATGACCCCGGTTTCTTCACACACTTTCCAACCTTCTTAAAATTAGAAAAAAAAGAATGCCTATTCGGTAATTTGAGCTGTCCTAAAGCAAACCTATACTGTTGATCTTTGTTTTTCCTATAAGTTGTCAGAGCAAAATGCAGCATCTTAAGCTTCCTAAGACCGAACTGAAGCCCTCATAGTTTTAATCATTCATTAAAAAAAGAGAGTAGAGGGAAGTCTATGCACTTCAGAAAGGATATGTCACCTCTTGGGAATTTCTTAAATCAATGGGGATGTGTTTTTCCTTTCTTTCTGGATTCACTCAAGGAATGAACTGAAAATCGTACAATCAAAAGTAAATATCGCCGTTGGGGAGTTGTGTTTCCTGACCCGTGGGGCATCACCCAAGGGTTCGCTGTGCCGGATTTATAGCCTAATATTTGCGAGCTCTACAGCTTAATGAGAACACTCAGAACAAGACGAGCTACTCATTAGCAGAAATCTTAGGCATGAGGATGATTTTGCCGTTTTCTTTTATTTATTTTTATTCCACTGATAAGCCCCAAAAGATTATTCTCGTGGGCTGCACTCAGCCGAGGGAACAGTTTTGTGTGTGAGTGTGTCAGCAAAAGTAAATTAATGAGTGCTCACAAGCTCACATGTAGATCAAGTCCGATCAGATCTCAGGCTACACACAAGATTCTTCTCTGTGTGCATACTTTAGAGAGCAGGCTACCATTTGATGCATGCTGAGGAGGTGGGTGTATCCAGCACAGCCACTCTGATGTTAGGAAGCAATAGCTCTTGCATCCTACTCAGTCTGCTCTCTACTCTCCCTGCTCTCCTGTTTCCTCCAGTCTGTCTGCCTTCCACCATAGTACTCTCCCTTTACTCACAGCCATGCAGGACCATCTTAGATATATTTAGCCAAATCAACGTCGGTAGGCAGAGTATCAGCCAACAGGACTTAAGGGTGCAGTACCCTGGGAAGTGTAGAGAGAGGGGATCTTTGGAGACGCTGGTGAAAAGGAAGTTTTTCCCTCATTATATTTTTCATCCCAAAGGACACAATCCACAGCTGTGTGTAGAGAGGTAAGAAAAAGATATATATGGGGTCTTTCTTCTTTTGCTCTTATCTTTCCAGCTGTCTCTCATTTTTATTTTTTCCCCTTTCGTCTTAGCACTGTTTACTCAAATGACAGTTTTGTCATTTTTTTAGTTTAGAAAAAATACATTGTGGAAACACCATGAATGCTCGAGATTTTATCATCTCCCTTCCTCCCGCTATGTGCTGTCTGTTTTCCTCATGCCCTGAGCTCTGGAACCCTCATCTGCCTGATGATCAGATGCTGAGCGCCAGACGTGCACATACATACTTGTTCATAAATGTGCAAACATGCCGCCAAAGGAAATATCTTTTGACTTTGTGTGTTCCCTGTCTCATTCTTTACCAGTCGAATCTTTCTCTGAAGCTTTTCATTAGCTTGGCTGGGTTTCAGAAAAAAAAGACTCCCTGCCAGCCTGACTAATGTTTTTCAGCTGGTCTCTAACATGTGCACATATGTATGCAATACAAACCAAGCAGATTGGAGGTAGATGAAACAGGGAAAAGCGTATTTGGATTTAAAAATATCTAAAATTGTGCAACTTTTGCATGCGGACATGCTGAACATGTCTTTGTTTCTCTGTCTAACCTTTCTGCTCCCCTATGTCTGCACGTATTCACAGTTAGTCTCAGTCACTGCCCTCCGAGCCCGCCACAGATCATTGGCTATGGTTTGTTGACTAACAACAGTTACACGTTCATGTAAGGAAAAGAGTTCCTTTTGTACGAAGCACTTGCACAAAAAGCCATATTTTACTTATGCGCGTTGTATTTTATATATATGTAGCATGTGTTTTGCTCAGGTTGAAGAGAATACTGCCACTCACAAATGTACTGTTATCTGAGATACAGACAGGCATTTACTGTACGTGTTTGTTTTTATTTAAATGTGTGTCCGTGTGGTTTACACGGAGGTGCAGAGAGGTGAGTCATCCCAGCACACATGCTGGTGACTGCAAGAGGCGTTCAGTGGAATGATATCATGATGTGTGATTTGCCAGTTGACAGTGTCTGATGAAACACTATCCGTGAAATGTCAACCTTTCCGGAATTGAAAACAAGCAAATCTTGCCTCCCTAAAAGCATGATATCCAATTAATTTTTCAAGACCATGGAGTGCAATCTGAGAGGGCTTTTTTGTCAAACAAGTCTGACTTTTCTTATTTTGTCGACACCCAGCAGGGTTTGTTTTTCTTTTGAGTTCAAATATTGAAATTATAAATATTGAAAGTCATGTGGTTGGCGTTGTGCTCAGCAGCAGGGCTAAAAACACATTCATTTCAGGCTAACCTTTAATGTTCAGAGTATAAATGTGATTGTGTTTGCAGTCAGTTTAATGCTTTTTCACTTCATTTAGTACAACTGTTACATTTTGTGTCAAGATGTTGATGGCAACCTTCTGGCTTTAAGTGTGACAAATCACTGAATTCTCTTAATACAATCATCTTAATAGTAGAAT